CCCCTCCCCCACCGCCCCCGAGCAGGGGGCCCCAGGTGTTTTGGCCAAGTATTTGCGTTCGAGATGGTTCTTGAGAACCTCAGAAATCCCGCTCATCTCTTTCCCAGTCACTGCCGCTGCCGAAGACGTTCTTGCCCGAGCGGGAGCGATGCCCCCTAAACGGCGAAGGCGCCGCCGCTCCCCCAGCGGAGCGCGCGAGCCCCCCGCCAGCCCCTCCGACGATGGGGGCCGTGACAAGGCGAATGAGATGCTGGAAACACACTTACTTGAGATGTGCGCGCGTTGTCATATCAGCGCGAAGGACTCAGGGAATTGCAAATTAAGGTTATCATGTTCGCTGTCCACCTGTATAGCCAAATACACAAGGGGGCGTGTCTTGGATATGGTACTATGTTACACACTCGGGGAATAGAAACTCAAGGGGGGCTCCTGGGGGCCCAACTTTCGAAGGGAATCCAAAGGGGGTCTGAGGGGCGAGCCTGGATAAGTCGCTGGGCCAAGCTAACGGCTGCAACGAGCATTAGAGTTCATAACGCCTCCCCCCACGACAGGACTTCTGCATCACGGCGTATTGGTGTAAAGAAGCTGGGCTGGATCAACCCGTAGCAAAGTGCGCTTTGAAACCGGGGCATTCCAGCGGGAACTATTACAAACATCTAGAGAGACATCTGCCTGAGCGGCCCCGATTGATGACCCCGTGCAAGGTTAGCGCCCCCGTTGCTGCTCGAGCTGGTTTTGCACGCTTGACGAAGCAGATTCCCTGCCTCATCCCACACGATTGTTTCGAGCATGAGACTACCACGAACGATTTAATCATGAGTGGCCACCGTATGGTGCTAGAGGAAGATGGATGGGGTCCTGCATGCGATTCTAATCCTGCAGTTGTCGATGCGCGCTCCAGGGGAGAGACGCCCCCGATCCCGTTCGCCCTTTATTTGGACGGCGTGAAGTTTTCCAGGCAATCGCATGCAGGACATATAGAGAGCTTGATTGTCGCAACTATCCCTGGGTTCCGCCATCCCCGACGTCCTCGGCAATAGACGCGTGCAATGCAACAACTTACAACCATCACGGGTAACACAAAAATCATGTCAAAGTTGCATCATATATGGATTCACACGCTTGATTTCACGTCAATGCGCGTGCGTCGGTTTTGCAACCTTGTTTCGGAAAAACGTCTCGTTGTGTGCACATTGCGGAAAGCCGCAATGTGTAAATGCGGCTGCAGAGGACATTGCACACTGCACCCACTGTTCACATTTCTGGAATGGAGTTTTCATGCGATGTTGACTGGCATACGTCCGCACCTCAGACATGATGGTACTCATTGGGACGAGGGTTCACACTTGGCAGGGTCAGCAGGAACTGAGCTCAACTACCGTGCCGTTCTGATTAATATCAAATGCGACATGATGGAGTATGTCACGTCTTTAGGCCTCCCGTCTTGGTCTTCAATTTATTGCCCATGCTGCATGCGCAGTTTGAATCAAGACGCGCTTCATGGATACGAAGGCAGTGAGCACGGTGCAACCCCCTGGGGGAGCCCACAAAATTACGAGCTTTCTTGTCGAAGCTGCGAGCACATTGTGGACATCATCAGCGACGACATGCGTCGCATTATTCTTAGGGATGGGGGTCTCCACTACGATATCAAAATACAGCTCGGAGGCGCAACGGTGCCAACGATTT